GAGGCTGAGGCAGGAGAATCGCTTGAACCCGGGAGGCGGAGGCTGCAGCGAGCTGAGATTGTGCCACTGCACTCCAGCCTGGGCAACGGAGCGAGACTCCATCTCAAAAAAAAAAAAAAAAATTCCCAGGCAAGGCGGCTCACACCTATAGTCCCAGCTAGTCAGGAGGCTGAGGCAGGAGAATCACTTGAACTTGGGAACTGGGAGGCAGAGGTTGCAGTGAGCCAAGATCATGTCACTGCGCTCCAGCCAGGGTGATAGAGTGAGACTGTCTCAAAAAATCTCTCTCTCTCTCTCTCTCTCTCTATCTATATCTATATATATTTTTGACTTTTGACATAGATATAGATATAGATATAGATATATGGAAATATGGCCAGGCACTTTGGGAGACTGAGGTGGAGAACTGCTGGAGGCCAGGAGTTTGAGGCTGCCCAGTGAGCTATGATTGCGCTACTGCACTCCAAGGCCTGATAGAGCAAGATCCTGTGTCCAAAAAAAAAATGTGGGAGTGGGTACCAGGAGTAGTGGCTCACGTCTGCAATCCCAGCATTTTGGGAGGTCCATGTGAGCCCAGGAGTTTGAGACCAGCCTGGCCAACATGGGGAAACTCCGTCTCTAATAAAATACAAAAATTGGCTGGGTGTGTGGTGGTGCGTGTCTGTAGTTCCAGCTACACAGGACGCTAAGGGACGAGAAGTGCTTAAACCCAGAAGGCTGAGGCTGCAGGGAGCCGAGACTGTGCCACTGCACTCCACCTGGGTGATGGAGAGAGACCCTGTCTCAAAAGAAATAAAGGAAATATTTCCTGGCCGCACCGTGCAGGTGATGTGGACGCCACCGACCCACCCCAGCCCCTCTCCTGGGATCCCCACCCACGCTGTGCTGATTGGTAAATATTTGGACTCCTCCATCCTGATGGTCCCGCGGCCCCCGCCCGGCCTGGCCCTTACCTGCAGCTGCTGCTGTAAATCCTTCACCTGGTCACGGAGGGCCTCCACCTCGGGGGTGGCCAGGGCGGCCGGCTGCTCCTTCAAGGCCTCCTTAAGACTGAAGACTTCTTTGGAGAGTTCTGTGATCTGGGGGTGCGAGTGCTGTCAGCCATCACCCTGGGCCCAGGGCTGGGGGCTGAGGACCTCTCTGCAGCCGCAGGAAAAGGCCAGGGATAAAGGCCTTCGAGGGAAGGTCCCGTCCCAGGCAAACTCTGGCCTGAGTGCCACGTCTGGCCCACAGCCTGTTTTAATTTTATTTATTTATTTACTTATTTATTTCTATTTTAGATGCTTATGGTTACCAGCACAGCCTGTTTTTATACAACCCACAAGCTAAAACTGGTTTTCACGTTTTTTGTTTTTGTCTTTTTTTTTTTTTTGAGATAGAGTCTCGCTCTGTCACCCAGGCTGCAGTGCAGTGCAGTGGTGTGATCTCCGCTCACTGCAACCTCCGCCTCCCAGGTTCAAGCAATTCTTCTGCCTCAGCCTCCTGAGTAGCTGGGACTACAGGTGCCCATTACCACATCTGGCTAATGGTTATATTTTTAGTAGAGACGGGTTTTCGCCATGTTGGCCAGGTTGGTCTCGAACTCCTGACCTCAGGTGATCCACTTGCCTCGGCCTCCCAAAGTGCTGGGATTACAGGCGTGAGCCACTGTGCCCGGCCAAGTTCTTAACTTAGTAGTAGCTGTGATCCTCCACAGAGAGTCTGTTTAAACTGTGCCTGGTCAACAGTAGGCACTCAATAAATGCAGGGCCTTATTATTACTATACATCAGGGGTTTTCAACTTGAGGCAATTCTGCCCCCCAAGGGGACACTGGGTGTTGTGTGAGGACAACACGACCTGGAGGAGCTCTTGGCATGGAGTGGGTGGAGGTCAGGGATGCTGCTCAGTCCCCTCCAATGTCCAGGACAGCCCCAGCCCAGGAAACGATCCTGCCTCGACGTCCACAGTGCGCAGGGGAAGAAACCAGGCTATAGATAAACCATCATCCTAACTGCAATTTT